GTACAGGTCTCTAGTTCTTAAGTACTCTGTTTTATCCCTATTTATCTCATTTCAATGAACATTCCTTTGTTGTCTGCATTGTTTACTGTCTGTTTATACTGCTTTTTCTGCATTGTTTGCACTGTTTGTTGATGTTAATACTGCTATTTTGTTATATTACACAGCCTTATGCTGGTTTACTGTTTGCACATTGAGAGCCGATGTAACAGTGAAATTCCTCGTGTGTCCATCACACCTGGCCAATAAAGCTGATTCTGATTTGTCTTTATGCTAAGCTAAGTTAACCAGCTGCTGGCTGTAGCTTCATATTCACTATACATGCTTGAGAGTGGTATCACTGTTCTCATCCAATTCTCAGCAAATAAGTAAATATGCATATTTCCCAGACTGAAAAGTATTCCTACAAAATATGTTTTTGCTAAACTGTGACATCAATCAGGATATTATTCAAGAATATAGCAGCTAAAAACAGCCTTTGACAATGACTGAGAATAAACATTACATATCTGGGTTAAAGTCTGTGTGCTCAGTACTCACCCTCCTGGTGTTGTCCAGGACTTTGGGGTCAGGTCGGCCATAGTTGGGAGGGTTGGCGTGGGGGTCGTAGCCCAGCCTGGATAGCATGGGTGCGATGACGGCCATGTCCCTCACCACATCTGCTGGGATCTTTCCCACCCACTTGGACAAGGCCTCCACATTAATGGGTTTGATGACCTGGTCTGTGGACCTCTCCACCCTAACAAGACAGACAAATGTTGGTTTTACCTGTGATCTAAAACAAGTCGAAGTTTTTGTTATGAACGCTCGACACACTGATGAGGGAGCGGAGAAATTAACGAACCAAGGCGGCTAGCTTCGGTGCAAGCAGTGAGATTTATTTACAGTGTCAACAGTGCAAAAATATATATAGGAGGAGAGGAGTAGTGAGAGGACCGGGTGTCGATCAGCGGTAGCAGGAAATACAGTCAATGGAGTGATGATGGGCCGGGCTGCGGTTGTAGGATTCACTCCTGGGCTGGTTGGGTTGGAGGTGATGATGACTGAGAGGAAAGAGTAGCAGAGAGACAGATTACCGGAGACTGTGCATCGACCTGTGAGGCGGTGGCTGGTAGAGCTGAGGGAAACCAGGGTCCAGAGGAGAGGTCCGACGAGGAGGGAAACCAGATACGGCGGGGCAGGACAGACACTCGGCTAAACACAGAAATAAAACAGAGAGCGTACTTGGCACAAAAAGCAACTGACAATAACATCCATGGGGGCCTGAAGACAGAGAAAGAACTGGCAGGGGAGTGATCGGTGAGCAGTGTATAAATAAGGAGGGAGACTAACGAGGCGCAGCTGGTGATAATCAGTGGAGCGGGGCAGGTGTGTCGGATCGTGCAATCAGTGCAAGGGAGCTGACTAGTGCAAGGAAAAGAAGAGAGGAAGGTGCTACCGGGCAAACCTGACAGTTTTCCTTGCATGCTGATGCATTTTTGAACCCCTTTGGTTCAGTGGGTCAATTTACACTATGGACACTTTCCCACTGAATTCATTCAGAAAGTGTACAATCTTTTGACTGGTAGTGCAGCTCCAAGTGATTATTTGTTACTGTATGGCAAAGTTTCTTAAGTTGTAGTAAAATGTGCAATTTAAATAACAATTACACATTGAAAGTTATAGGCCCCTATCTATGTTTCTGAATTTACAGTAATCAGCATTATTTATTGCACACACAGTTCCCCTTTGAGCTTAAAACCAGTCCATAAATCTTGTAATTTGAAAGACAAGGTCATTTGGCCTTTGATTTCATACATTTTCAGAGAGCAAAAGGCCACAAGACTGGACACTAAGACCAAGACAAATGACATGATGTGTATATATGTATATATGTGTATGTAGCTTATTATACAGCCTGAGCAGTAAAGTTACAAACTAGAGTTTGATGTTCACAACAAACATGTTATGTTTAAAGTGCAGATGTTGTAGAACGGTTAAAAGGAAATATGCAGAACTAGTATAGTAACTGTGTACCTTTATTTTGATTTGAATAGTAAATGGTATTATCTGTGCACATTTAGACTCAAAGGCATATTAAGGTCTTGTTGCTCTGCTGATGTTGTCTAAGACCATGTTCACACTGCAGGCTGAAGTGCCTCAAATCCGACCTTTTTGCCCAAATGTGACCCATACCCGATTTCCTTATGACAATGTGAACAGCACAAATCCGATTTTTTCAAATCCAGCCGAGGCCACTTTCATATATGGTCCTAAATCGGATACATATCCGATGTTTTGCAATGCGACTTCAGTCTGAACGGCCAGATCGCTTTTCATGCAATTTTTATGTCATTGAAATGCGACAGATGTCACAATTCTGCGCTGGAGGAGGTGAGGCCATAAGCAATATTTGTGCTCTCCTCCTTCTTGATGTTCTTCTTCTTATTATTTCTTTATTTCGATTGCACATTAACCGGTACATCGCTACACACATGCTATCACGAGCCACATCCATTTTTATTTTCGCAAACACAGTACGCTGCGTCTGACGTCACGTCCTCTTCTGCGCATGCGGGTCACCTCAGGGCCGTATACCGTTCACACATGAGACAGATGGCAGTCATATTTAAATGACAGTGTGAACAACAACGCAAAAAAATCGGATTTTGGCAAAAAATCCGATCTGAGCATTAAGACCTGCAGTGTGAACGTAGTCTAAGATCAACAGAGGAAAGGATGTCTACTTTCTCTTAATTACTCTAACTGGTGCAATACTTTTGTTTTCTGGCATCATGATGACAGAATGACCAGCATCACTTCTAGCATGGTGAAAACTAAAAATAAATACATAATGGCTGCCTATTAAGGTTTTCACTTGGTTATCAGTACTGACAGTATTAGTGCTTATTTAGCATATGCAGTATTTCAAATAGCAGAGAAAACACAATACATTTCAACACTACATGTAATGTTTTCCAGCCTCTGTGTTTTCTTCCATCTTAGAGCCAGATCCAAATATTACATCCTTCCATCTGCATAGCCAGTAAAACTAAATGAAACCCTGTTGTAGCACCTCTAGCTTGATTGATGCAGTGAGCTGAAAATAGCACACAGATGCAGTGAACACAGACATTCACCAACAGTTTGTAAAAATATTGATGCTACCAAGCAGTGTTAAAGAGTGAGTAACATTAAACTCTACAGTATATTATGCCAACTGACATGAACCATGGAGGTTTTATGAGGAGTGCTCCCCAGTGAACAGCTTTATTAAGCACCGTTCTCCCTAATACATCCATAAACACACACCTATGTGAGTGATTGGTCATGGACAATCATTTACAGAGATCGCTCTTCAGATCTCATGGATCTGATGAGGGCACACACGCCACCCTGGCTTACAACCAATTAAAACATTTTCACATTTAACAAGGTTTAATGACTAGCTCTTACCTATTATTAGCACTGGTAATCAGATAAGTTACAGTATTGTTTGTAGGACTCTGATCCTACTGGTGAACTGGTAAGATGCTTTTATTGTCAACCTGTCCCCATATTACCCAGTTTACAACAGACCAGTTCACTGGAAGCATCTAATTGGCTGTAACTGGATTATGAGACACTATTAAAGATGGCTTCCTCTGCTTTCTATCCTCAGGTTAAAAATGCTGAATAGATGCCTTTCCCAATTTAATCAGTTCAATTCCAAGTGAACATGCATCAAATTTTCATATAATTTACCATCCATCCATCCTCAGCTAGTCACCAACAGCAATAAAATTCAACATGTGGGCTGAAAATCACTTCCTTGAGCTTACAGTAGTTAACCAGTTTAATCTCAGTGACTATGTCATAGGAGAAAGGTTGTTCAGTTTTCAGGCAAAGCTACAGAGTTGGTGTTTTGCCACAAATGACATCAAACCCAGATGTTCATTTTAGAGAGCGAGTCAGGCCTCTTGATAGTGAAATTAAAACCTCCTGTTGTTTCTAGAGTGAGGATAAATGATGCTCCACCCATCCTTTTCCTCCATCAGCCATGGGTGTGAGCAATTTTAAAAAGGAACTGACCATTACCTAGGTTAAATTATTTATTGTGTGAAATTAAATATTCAACAAGCAAGGGGTTTGGAGCTGCCAGACTGAAGCTTTTGTTGTCTGGACTGAATTAAGTTTACCACTGCTGACCAGCAGGAGGGATTTGATGTTTACAGTTATTAACCTAAAAAACTAAGGGGGCACACTGACCGCAATAGTAGATTCTCTATTATCTTATTGTAAACCTTTGCAACTGACGTGGGTCTGGCTGACTAAATGAAACACTTTTAGATATACTGCAAGTCAGACTGCACAGTGTTATAAAGCACACTGTGTCTGTGTTTGATTTCTGAAACCGATTCTCACGTTTTCATAGCAGATTCATTGCTCAACACATCACACAGGTAAAATACAGAAACTCCATCCGACAACTAGTACAGTAGTGTGCCATAAATGGCTACGCCAGAGAGGGACTCCACTCCCATCTATTCACCTAGTGAATGTCCACGCCCTAGTCAACAAGATGGGTGAACTCCTTCTCGTCAACAGGACCAACTCTGACTTTGCATGCTTCACTACTTTATGCTTTACGGAAACTTGGCTTAGTGACTCCATCATGGACAGCGCAATCCAAGTACTGGGCTTCCAGGTGTACAGGGCGGGTTGCGTAATGGAGCTGTCCGGGAAAACAAGAGGAAGGGGAATCTGTTTCTACATAAATGAAGGTTGGTGCACAGATGTCACGGTGCTACAGAGGACATGTAACACAGACTTAGAAACTCTCTTTATCAACTGCAAACCTTTTCATTTTCCCTGAGAATTTAATTCATTCACTTCATTCTAATTGGAGTGTACATAAGACCACAGGCCCACGCTAGCGCACTACAGCTCCTGGCTGAACAGATAACTAGTGTGGAGCTAGAACATCCTGACCCCCCCCTCACTGTTCTAGGGGGCTTTAACAGAGCAACTCTCACCCAAGAACTGCCCAAATACAGAGAGCACGTCACCTGTCCCGCCAGGGACAAAATCACACTGGACCACTGCTACACAACAATAAAAGACGCCTATCGCTCTGTCCCCCACGCAGCCCTCGGACTCTCTGATCACTGCACTTATTCCAACCTACAGGCAGAAACTTAAAGCTGCGAAACATGTGGTCAAAACAGTAAAGAGATGGACCGAGCAGACTAAGTCAGAGCTATAAGGGCTGCTTTGACTTCACAGATTGGAGTGTATTTGAGGCTGCAGCTACACACCTGGATGAACTCAGATTTTCTGAGTGTTAGGTATTTTTTTAGTCAGATAGATATTGGTTAGATACTTGTTGTATTAAAAATGTTTAGTGGAGACAGGATGTCTAGTTTAAACGCTTAGTCATTGTCATGAGATTTTAGCAAGGGTGCGCCACAGCGAATCATCTGTTTCCACTTAACTCTATCCTCGGCATCCTCTACTCTTACCCTAATTAAATTCATGTCCTCTTTTAGCACATACATATATCTCCTCTTTGGCCTTCCTCTTGACCTCTTGCCTGGCAGCTCCATCTCCAACATCCTTCTACCAATATAACTACTATCCCTTCTCTGCACATTGGGTGTAATTGGGAATTCTCTCTCTCTCTCTCTCTCTCTCTCTCTCTCTCTCTCTCTCTCTCTCTCTCTCTCTCTCTCTCTCTCTCTCTCTCTCTCTCTCTCTCTCTCTCTCTCTCTCTCTCTCTCT